CCTTTTGCAGAATTTTAACTAGCCTTTAGCTACTATTAGCTTTTAGAATCAGTTTATTATCGCCATGTCAATGAACGAGGTTCACAAACTAGGAATTTGCTTCAACATAAGGTGCGAATAGTAGTAAAGTAAAATAAAGTAAAAATAAAGTAAAAATTAAGTAAAAATGAGAACATTACATAAGACATAAGCCTGTGTACACACACAAATAAAGTAAAATTAAAACCATAACATAACCATATGACATAACATAACCATTTTAGACCTGCTACCTCCCTGATCCAGCTTTGGATTTATCTTAAAAATAAATAGATGCATTTTACTTTATTTTTTTTCATCGTTTAACAAGAATTGGATAGCCATGTTTACTGACATTTTGCCCTGAGCTGGAAAGTTAAAATTTATTGGAAGTCTTTGGACATTTTTGTCACGCGAGCACTCAACAAAACGTCTGTTGATGCCTGCTGCAACTTGCTTTTTGTTCTTTTTCTGTACGTGGAAGAATCGAGAAGCTGTTCAATCTGATTTGCCCTTCGGTTAAAAAAAAGTGTTCCTCGTTTTAAACGGCGCTATTAATTTTTGTGTTGTGGTAACGCTCCTAATGCTAGGCGTGGAGTCATTTTCGCACGAATTCTGTTGGATTGCATCTGAACTTTTCACCACAAGTGGTTGATAAACGTCTGCGCTGCTGGTTGTCCATGCAAATAATGTTTCACAACTTGAAATAGGCCCGAGTGAAAAGCATTTCACCATGCAGAAAAACATGTTGCAGGATGTGTGATTTGCTAACGAATCAGAGATGGCAAGATGCTTTTTTTTTTTTTTTAAATATGACAAAGTGTAACGGACAAAAAATAACTGCTATTCTTTACAATTAAAATACTGAATCTAGTTTTTGTTCCAGAAAATGTCACAAAAAAGTATTTTTATTAGCAGACGGATGAACTTCTGCTCGGTTAATTTACACAAGGTTTATTTAAAAGCTTGAACTGTGTGTTCATCTAAATTTCAGGTGTTTTTTCCTGTGACATAGCAGAACAACAGATCATGCCCGGGCTGCGTGCCAGCTCTCGTGCTTTCTTGCCAGGCAGGACTCGGCACACATTTGCATGCACCACGGAGCCCTTTGTGGGCTGAAAGTGTATTGTCTTGTTGTTTGTGGAGCTCGTGGATTTCCTGAATCTCCCTTCCTGAACAGAACGGCTCTGATTTTCCAAACTTTTAACTGTGCTGCTTTTTGTACAGAGGAAAACATAAAAATAACAATAAATCCATGTATACAGGAAGAAATCAAATAACGATCTATTGTTTTCTATATTCATCCGCCCCTGGAAAACACATTTTAAAATAAAATCTGACTGAATTCCTGGAGCTGTTACTCATTGCTCGGCCATTTTAGAAACCCCATTACCATGGGGACCAAAGAACTTCCTCACACTGTTTCCTATTTTTGTCTTTGGCCAAGAACTAGACCATTCTTGGGTTTTTGCTTCCATAGTGTTTTTGTTAACGTGGTCCAGGAGAGGGCTATTTGAAAGGGCAAGTTTATACCAATCCTCTTTTTTTTATTCCAGAAGTAATTGACGAGAATGGATGAACAATTGCTTTAGCTGCTAACTAAAGCCGTCTTTTGTCATAACGCGGCCCCCTGGACCTTCTATTCAAGGCAATCGCCTCATGGTAATGGGCAATTAAGTGAAATAAAGTTGGGAAACGCTCACAATCCTGCCAGGGTTTCTGAAAATGCAGTGGTCGAGTGGAGAACACCTTCCCTCCACCAGTTGGAGTCTGTAAATGGAGTCCATTTGGTGTCTCTCTGTCTGAACTGTCAGCCAACAAACATGAAAATGTCTGAATCTCCTCATTGGAGTGTTGGTTTACATGTTGCCTTTTTATTGGATGCATTCTAAAAAATAAAAAACAAAAGCGATTTTGAGGTTTTATAAACGTTAAGGTTCTTGTGAAGGAGACTGTTGTGATTGACATCGCTCTCTGGCCAACAGTGACCTGCGGTCTGCTGATTTAAAATCTTTAGCTCTGCTTGCTTGGAACGGCCGTCTAATGGTAATGGTAGTTTAATAAACTAAGAGCCGAACTGGAAACGGGTGGGGTCACCTGATGGAAAGGCTCTGCAGCCCTTCTGAGTTGACCGGAGTACGAGAGCTGAGCCCATGGAAGAAGGCCAGAAGAAGTAATACAATTAGTTAAGGTGGGATTGAATATTGTCGCAAAGTTCTTGTGTTTTGTTAATTTTATAAACTTTTGACAATAGCCTATTTTGCTTTATCATTAGCAGGATTTGATTTGAAACAAACCCTCGGTAGAATTACTTTTTAACTGTACACAGTTTGTCAAATTTAGAGTAAAAACGTATGTGGATTAAATCAAGTTTACCTCAATATATTTGTATTATTGCAGTTTCAGGTGGGACTCTTTAGGTGCATTTTTATCTTGAAACCTAAATAACTATGGCTTATTTTACATAAACACTGTTTTATTATATATTTAACATTTAATAGAGTGCACAATAACACATCAGAAGCCCTTATTAATTACAAGCTGCTGACCTGCAAGTATAAATGTTAACCTAACATTGAAAAAACCATAGAAAATCTAATCTGATTAGCATCACGCTAATCACTAAAAATTAATACACGAATCAAATGCTAGTCATGTTGTACTAACTTCACTTACAACTTACAGATACATATAACAACTAAATTATGAGAAAGACGTGAAAGCACAACATTACTGCATGTTTTGACTATAAAAAGCTACGGTAACTCTACTGGGACAAACTGCACAACTGGCTCTTAAAGTGGCAGCACAGACCCAACATTAACAAAATCTATTTTAGATTTGAAAATTGACTCAGAACCTTTCATGTCTGCAATTCAACAGTATTTTATTTAATTACGGCACTTAAAAAGGTATGTCGATTTTATTGTAAACCCTGGTATACCGGTAAGTGATGCGACGCATCCTGAATGTCTGAGTATGGTTTAGTAACTCAAAGGCACGTGTAAACTAATGCTCATTGGTATGATGGTGCTACAAAACCAGTTTGTTGGAATCGTTTAAAAAATGTAGTTTTCATATTTGACCATTTATCTCTGTTCCTGAACAAAATGAATTTAAAGCAGTAATCTCTTTCTACAGACAGGCTGTATTGTTATAGTTGCTATTTGTAGTCCTAAACTCGCCTCCAACTGGGAGGAAAAACTTCTCTTTGAACTGTTTTGTTTACCGAGTACATTTACGAAGTTGACCAAGTTTACCAAGCGACACTCTGCAAACTCAGGGGTTTACCGAGTGCCGGCTCAAACTGGAACCAGCTGCTGAGTCGCGTCGTTTTAATCTTGGCCACGTCGGAAGCTATCTTTAACCATTACCGTTTTCCTTTTATTTCTTTGTACGTTTTCTGTAATCCAAAACAGAAGCAACTGACCATCGGTTTGTGTGGACTTGTCGGTAACATTCATACCCCCACATTTTCACATTGCATTGTTTAAAACTGACGATGTGTTTGGAATGAGGATTTTCTTGTTTGTTTTGTAAATATATACTTCCTGTTTTTACTACTAAAAATACCAGTTCCTTTTTGGTAAACTGGGGGTTATAAGAGCTTGTTTTACCAAGTGTTGAAGTAAACAAACTTTGTCTGTTTGGAGTGTTTATGAGGACACACACCATTTGTGTTTTTCTGATGTATTGTTGTGAGGCCGACGGCAGAACAATGCCGTTAACCCGGTTCCAGAGCGTCCGGCCTGAAAAACAGAGCTCAGCATTCAGAGGCCCGTGGGCCGCTGAGTGGATCTGCAGTTCTGGCAGGACCGGCTTCTGCCGCCTGTTGAACAAAACAGCTTCTGCAGCTTTTTGTGTCTGAATTGATGTGCAGATACTCCTAAGAATGGCGATTGTACCCCAACATTATAAAATTGTGATGCCAGTCAGAAAACGGAGCATTTGTTAGAACTGAACTGAAGTTTTGTTTGATTTTACTAGGTGTGATGTCTTTTGTTTATCCGTATGATTATATTTTTGACTCGACTTTTTATTTAAAAAAAATCTTTTACAAACATTCCTTTTCTTTTTACATTCGCCCAAACTAATAAAGTGCCGTTAAGTGGTGCATTCTCCACTTTTCATGGTTTTTGATTTTTTTTATCGTCCCCTCTGACTCTTGACTAAAGTTTTCATCATGTCTTATAAAAAAATTAGGCAAAATTTCACAATAAGTAGTCAAAATATATTTTTACTCCAGTAAATGTACACATAACTAGCTATGATTAACTTTGACCATTTGCAGCCCAAGTTTTGGAGTTTATTTTTGAAGTTCTCCAGTTATCGAACCAGTCGGATCCAAGATAGGTGGCGATAAAACACGAGTTCTGTTGCAGCATGTTGTTCGTGCAGGCCTCGTTGCACAACATCCAGCTGGAGTCTGCCTTGGTGGTTTCTCTGCTTGGCATTTACGAGCCCACATATTTCAGAGACGGAGTTGTTGCTTCTTGTATCGAGCCTATTGTTAAGCGAGTTAAAAATGGTTCAGCTGTGACGAGTCTCAATGGAAGTATTTAACGCAACAGTTTTTGTTTGGCGTTTACATTTTTGCAGCAGTTTCCTTTTCCTGCTCACCTGTTTAAGCTTTTGTGCTCCTCTCAGCTACGTGTTTACATTCCTACAGACTACACGAAGTGGTTTTAAGTGGACGTTGTATAAAGTTGGGAAATAAGAGCTCGTCAGTGCTGACATTCTCCTGCGCCTTAGTCATATTTAATGAATACAAATTAAACTGCTTGTTTCCAAATGCTTTACTAGCTTCACTGATGCGTAAAAAGCAATCTACAATAAACTTTCTTATAATCAAAGGAAATGGTTTTGTCGAGAGATAACCCACGTTACTGAAACCTCTATTCGTCTTTGTTGCTCTTTTACTGGAATGCAGCTGAAACCTTGAAACGATTCAAAATGTGCGTTGTTTTTTTTTCCTCCTGCAGGCGTATGAGCGGCGCTTCCCCACCTGCCACCTCATCCCCATGTTTGTGGCGAGTGACATCGTCGAAGAGGAGAAAGGTGAAGATGGGTCCACCCACCGGGTCGAGCGCCGCTGTGCCCTGGATGTTGACGCCCCGCGCCTTCTCAAAAGGGTATGGTTTACCGCATCACACGGATCACGTTTCGTCTTAATCACCATCTTTTAATAACGGTTATTAACACTGCTTTCAGATAACGTGCGCTGTTTCTGTGGTTTACAGATCGCTGGTGTCGACTACATTTACTTCATCCAGAAAAACACTCTGAACAGAAAGGAGAGGACTCTTCACATCGAGTCCCACAATGAGACCTTTTCCAACCGCATCATCGTCCACGAGACCTGCTGCTATTCGGTCAGTGGCTCAAACCCATGCTGTTATCCAAAAGAAGCATATACTCGGTGTTTACTTCCAGGTTACATGCCATCAGCACAGTAGATTTTTAGTTTTGGTGTCTTTAATGACCCCAGCAGCGAAGATCTTTCTAAACGCTGATCCAGAACCAGCATCACTTCCTTATTTCCCTCTCCTCCTCCTCTATAACACTGACTCCAGATCTGCCTTCTCCTGTATGATGAGTTAATGAGGTCAAGCTCGTCGTATTGGCCTCCAGCCGACTGCGGTGCTAATTTTAGGTCCGAGGCCACACAGATCTTCTCACTGAGGGCGTTATGAAGCTGTGGAAACGGTAACCACGACGGAGAGCTCAGTTAGGCAGCTAATGGACCCGACTAAAGCTGAAATGCTTTGGTAGTCACGGACAATCAAGCTGAGATCGTTTTGCCACCAGGATGTATTTAACTCCTGACTTCTCAAAACGAACAACGAGCCAAAAGAGCAGTTAAATTTTTTTTTTTTTCTGTTTTAAGATGTGCTCGTAATGGTCAAGAATAAATAAAATAATTAGAAAACTCTGAGGATGTTTTAAAGGCTGACAATGCAGCTACTGTCCATCGTTCCAACAAAACTTAATTAAATTTTGATATTTAAACCATGTAAGAACTGTGAGTAAATCCAAGGTCCAAAGAAACGTTAAAGCTGTCAGTCGTTCATAATAATTACCATGGTAATCGCACACCTGTGTCTCACTCCCTGACTGCCAAGTTAATGAGCAGCAGGCTGAAAAGTTGGCCTCAAACTGTCGCTGTGTGGAAACTATAAGTCAGATCGTAAAAATTCATGGCGCATGAGTGACAGATGTTTCAAAGACGCTTCTAGTTTTAAAGGCAGTGATTTGAGCTAAACTGTAACTTGTCTGGAAAGGTTTAGGCATGTGCTCTTTACATTCTGTGGGGATCGGAGAATAAAATGTTAGTCCTATAGCCGTAAGTGACATGGAGTGAAAGAAGACTAAAGTTTGGAGTGTAATGCTGCGTGATGAGAAACGGCAGAGCGATTTTTATTAAGATAATAGTATTGAACCTTTTCAGTTTGCAGAGATTTTTGTCATGAGTAGTACAGTATTTATAGAAACTGGATGTTGTTTGAGAGTGAATCACGGTTTTATCATTCTCCAAAAATACGTGTTGCTCTGTGTATTTTGTAGTACTGTGCTTCAAACAGCTCATGCTTATAAAATAAGCCCAACCTGGCCAAGTTCACACCCACAGACTAACACGCATACCCCCACTCGGTGTGAAAACTGTTCTCTTCATGCGTCATCGTTTTGAGTAGCTCCCTGTGTGGTTACCGTGGTAACGCAGTCCCCCTGCATCCGTGCATGCGTACACAGAATGAGTGACCGGATGTTTTGTTGCGTGTGTTTGCCCAGGTCCACCCGGAGAACGAGGACTGGACGTGTTTTGAACAAACGGCCAGTTTAGACATCAAGTCGTTCTTTGGCTTTGAGAGCACCGTGGAAAAGGTTGCAATGAAGCAGTACGCCAGCAGCATCAAAAAGGTGTGGCGTTGTTGCATACATGCTTGAGCTTTCATTCCCCCTCCGTCCGAGAGCTGAACCATTCAGATCATGGACCGAGCCATTTCATGGATTATTCTGTAGAACATTAAATCAGCTAAAACTTAAATAACATTTTATTTAATCTGATTAAATTCCACGTGAAATTGTTGTTTTTAATCTCAGCTTTCACACTTCTTCTTCGCTTGTGTCTCTCAGGGAAAGGAAATCATAGAGTTCTACCTGAAGGAGCTGGAAAACGAGGGCATCACTCATGTCCCCCGCTGGGCTCCTTCCTCCCATTCTCTCGCTCTCCCCCGGGCAAACATCCTCGCCACCAGCCCACCTGTCCCCACAAAGCACACGAGCGCGGCGTCTGCGTCCGTCCCGCAAACGGCCGACGCCAAAGACGACGCCTCGCAGGACGCAAAGCAGGACGGCGTCGCTCTGCAGGCAGACGGTCCGACAGAAATCCTGGCTGGAACACCTGAAGGTTCGTTTGAAATATGGACAACTCTTCCTGCTCATTTTTTGTTTTAATGTTAAGTTGTTTAGGAGATAACCTTAATATAAAAAATAAAAAAATAATAAAAAAAAGATTTGCATAAAACTGACCCAAGATGGAAAGTTAGTTTTTATACATTGTTAAATAAAAAAACAATCAAACACCTGTTGAGCTTTCATAATTCACTAATTAAATCAGTAAATGTGGTTTCTACAAGTCCGCTTACTCTTAGACATTTTTTCTAAGGTAATCGTTCTCAAAGCTGGGATCAAGATTGTGGATAGTGATACGTCTTGAAACGATTCCCAGGAAATAAAAAGACGTTTTTGTATTACCGTACTTGTTGCCGTACACGTCGAACCGCCGTACAAGTTGCATCAGTCCAAATATGTCTAATAAAGTGGAAAAAAACATAAATACATCTCTTTGCCAAATAAGTCGCATCTGTTATGCGTCACAGCTGATGCGTCTCGTTTGTTATACGTCACCGTTGACAACCCAGAAACGTGGGCCTGTGTTGTGCCATAAAGTCCATTGGCTGCCAATTGGCGGCCACGGGAGCGTGCATGGAAGGACTTTAACAAGAATTTAACAAGATTAACACTTAAAAACAATTATTCGTTTGCTCGAAATTATAGCAAAGTTGTGTCTCAGTTGAACTTTTCCTTAATAAATTCACTTTAACGGTCAAATCAGCTGCATTTCGACTGGGCGGAGCAGCGAAATGCAGCTCATTTGACGTTTGCTCCAGGAGTTCTGGAGCGAGACGATGGTGGCTTGGTATGGCAAGCCAAGTGTCTCATTAATATCCTCTTTTCCCTATTGAGACACTTGGCTTCAATATATGCAGTTAAACCACAGTTTGGTAAATTTTAATGAAAAATTATGAATAATTGTGGTGAATTTTAAGTTTTAGGAGTCCGAGGATGGTCAGAAGACACACACAGTCAATCCAAATGTTTCCTATGTAAAGTTTTAATTTTCACCCAACGTGCAGATGTTTAATTGCATCTTCTGTGTTTTTGTGTTGCAGACAAGCTGGATGCAGACTACATCAAACGTTACCTGGGTGACCTGACTCCGCTGCAGGAGAGCTGCCTGATCAGACTTCGCATCTGGCTTCAGGAGACACACAAGGGCAAGGTAACTTTAAAAATGCATCAGCACAATTGTATTTTTAGTCAACTTTAGAAACATCAACCTCATTTTTATGCTTTTTTTCTTTTTTTCTCTGTTTAGATCCCCAAAGACGAACACATCCTGCGTTTCTTGCGAGCCAGAGACTTCAACATGGATAAGGCGCGGGAATTCCTGTGCCAGTCTCTAACCTGGAGGAAGCAGCATCAGGTGGACTACCTGCTGGAGACCTGGAACCCTCCACAGGTTCTGCAGGACTACTACACCGGAGGCTGGCACCACCACGACAGAGGTGCTTGAGTTTAGACCTCCCAAGTTCAAAATCAGCAGCTGGAATGTGACATGGCACTCTGAAGACTCGTGCAGAGCTTATCTAAGCTGGCTGGGCTTGCTCCGTTCTGTGAAATACATGCCGATTCTTCCAGAGTCTGGTTGCACACACAGTAAAACATGTCCACCACTCCAGAGGACGTTAGGTTTACTCAGACGGAGAGTAGAGAGAATAACTGCGTTATTGGTTTGGACATCGTGTTGACTTTAATCATTTTCATTCTCACGCACGTTCCTGATTTGTGGCCGTGCCACGAGTCTCTCACTAATAGAAAAGGATCACTTTATTAATATCATAAATCTGTTCTTTTACTCTCTCGGAGCAGAACGTCGACTCGTTCCTCCAAGCGCACGCTCGCTCATTGTGCCACACAAAAGATGAGCAGATGGCAGCCGAAGCACACCTTTCCACTTAAGCTGCATTTGTGTACAATGTAAACGATGCGATGGATCACGTCAATATTTGTTTTACTCTGCTAGACGGGCGTCCTTTGTACATCCTGAGACTGGGCCAGATGGACACCAAAGGACTGGTGCGCGCCCTGGGAGAGGAGTCTCTGCTCAGACACGTACGTTGCACAGATTACTCTGCAGAATTGGTGCATTAGTGAAGGTCGATACGTTTGTAGGTCAGACACTCACTGGTTTATAGGTCAGGGACGTAACGTCCTAACAAGGGCTTTAACTCCAGGATGTGCAAAGTTAATGACACGGTTAAATGTAACGCGTTCACTGTTTGAGTAGAGCTGTGTTCATGTGTCCACGTAGGTGCTGTCCATCAACGAGGAGGGTCTGCGGCGCTGTGAGGAGAACACAAAGCTGTTCGGTCGACCCATCAGGTAAACGTGTTGCATCAATCAACATAACGAATCGTGTTTGTACAGGCAAGAATTTTGTAAATAAAAAAGTAGTCATAGCACATTATTCCCAATCGAGCTGAACATTTTGACATGCGTGGCCAAAATAGCACAAAGTGTGCAAAATTACTTTTAATGCAAAACGTAAAACGAGCTAAAACTATAAAAAAGGAAAACGATGAACGCTGAATCAGCTGCCACTCAAGTGAAAAGACAAAACAAATCTCCTTCAGCCTCCATTTACTGAACCAGAATAAACGTGAACCTTTAGTTGGACTCAGTTCTGTTTGGATTCAGTTGAGCAGCTGTGGCCTGGTCACACGTGCACTCGCTGATAAAACGCAGCATGAGCGAGTCCAGAGGAGAATTATCTCCCCAAAATGGAAATGCTGGTTCTGAGTGCACAGCCTGTGAAGCGAGGGAGCTGAGACGGTGTCTGATGTCCGTCGGCCGTCTCCAGCAGGAGGCTGCGCCTGCGATAAGAGCTGCGCACGAAGGCATGCGAGCGATGTGTGAATCCAGAATTAACGGGCATTACCTTCATCACTTAAGCCTCACTCCAGGGTGCCAGGTGCTAAGTGATGCGAAGGAAGCTGTAGCCCACTTCAGCGTGAGTGTGTTAGTGGTGGGACGTTATCCACTCTGATCCTTTCACTTCCTCCTCTGAAGCTGCTGGACGTGTCTGGTTGACCTGGAGGGGCTGAACATGCGTCACTTGTGGCGACCGGGGGTCAAAGCTCTGCTGAGGATCATCGAGGTTGTGGAGGCAAACTACCCCGAGACTCTGGGGCGGCTGCTGATCTTGAGAGCACCGAGAGTCTTCCCTGTTCTGTGGACACTGGTGAGAACGAGACGCCCACTAACATAAAAAGTGACTTAAATTGGACAAGTCTCACATGTTGATGGTTTCAATGGTGACAATCTAATTTGACACGATTTAAATATAAGGGGACATTAATGTCCATATTTTTAACTAGAGAATGTTTTTTTAAATATAATATTTGTTTATTTACGTAGAGAAAAAGTTGTGTAACCATGCTGAACGACTGACAAATTAAAGAATCTGAAACGGGAGTTGTTGAAGCTCACATGAGAAAAAAACTAGTTAAATGCTAAAAGTAGTAAAAACAAAATAGCTAAAATCTAAAAATTTCCAAAGACTATCTACAAACTAAAAAAATGAAAGGCTGAATTATCTACAAACTAAAAAATGAAAGGCTGGATTAACGCCAAAAGGAGAAAAATGTGAGTTTAAACCTAACAGTATTAAAGAGATGGATAATATTAGCAAAAAGGCTGGCTAGAAGTAGCTGAAGAGGAAGGCTGGGAGTAGCCGAAGAGGAAGGCTAGAAGTAGCCGAAGTGGGGGCTGGGAGTAGCCGAAGGGGCGAGCTGGGAGTAGCTGAAGGAGCGGGCTGGGAGTAGCCGAAGTGGGGGGCTGGGAGTAGCCGAAGGGGGGGGGGGGGGGGGGGGGTGTTAGGAGTAGCCAACGGGGCGGGCTAGGAGTAGCCGAATGTGGGGATTAGAAGTAGCCAAAGGTGGGGATTAGGGGTAGCCGAAGGTGTAGGCTAGATACTAAAAGTAACATAAGAGGCCAAAAACAGTAGTTTAAGCAGATTTCAAAGAGAACAATGAGATTGAAGTAATTGAAGAGCTCTTAACTGTAGTTCTTTAGGGAAAGTTGTATATTTTGAAAAGTATAAAATTACAAAACAAAAACTTTGGCATGTGTCTCCTGAGTGAACCGAACATTTTGATATGTGAACAGATAAAATACCACAAAGTATGAATAAGTAATGGGATTGCGAAGATGTTCAGAAAAAGAAAAACGAGAAACAAATCACACCAAATCCTATGTTCTTCTCTCTGAAGTATTTTATATATAGTGTTTTTTTACTTTTGTGTACCTCTACTCATAGGTGAGCCCCTTCATCGATGAGAACACCCGCAAGAAGTTCTTGATCTATGCGGGTAACGACTACCAGGGTCCTGGAGGTCTCGTGGACTACATAAACAAGGAGATCATCCCTGACTTCTTAGGAGGAGAGTGTATGGTGGGTGTTGAACGAATACTAAAATCTTCTGCTTTGAGTTTGTTCCTGAGCACAACAGTTTGTGTGCTCTTATTGTGACGTTCTTCTCTGACTCAGCTGTTTTTCCTCTGCAGTGTGAGGTACCAGAGGGTGGCCTGGTTCCCAAGTCCATGTATCGAACACCAGAGGAGCTGGAGAACGAGGATGTCCGCCTGTGGACCGAGACGATCTACCAGAGTGCCAGCATCTTTAAGGGGTCTCCACATGAGGTGAGGCTCAGAGACCTGCAGGGTGGAGTTGATGGAACTTCTGCCACCTAGTGGATGAAATTTGCATCATTTCTGGTTTTAGATCAGCTCATGTTTGAAAACTAATCTTCCTGCCGTGACATCCTGTTCCTGACGTGTTACATAATTTAAATCAGTGGGACAGATGTCATCCATAGCTGTCCCCCTGGAAATGGTTTTATTTCTGTGCAACTGCAGTTCTGAGGACGAAACATGCCGTTTGAGTTATTGAATAACACAGCAGTGAAGCTTTACATGAGTAGTTTCTGGCATAATTCCAGTGTCCATAAAAATAGAAACCGGTTCAGATTCCTGATCGTTTATTTTCTCTGAGCAGCTCGTGATCGAAATCATCGACGCCGCCTCGGTCATCACCTGGGACTTCGACGTTTGCAAAGGTGACATCGTTTTCAACATCTACCACTCAAAGCGGGCCCCCCAGCCACCACGTAAAGACCCCCTCGGAGCCCACGGCATCACCTCCCCTGGAGTCAACAATGTCCAGCTCATCGAGAAGTCCTGGACTCTGGGCCAGGACTACAGCATGGTGGAATCCCCCCTCACCTGCAAGGAGGGCGAGAGTGTGCAGGTGAGGATTTATCACCTGGAGCTGGTGTACGCATGCTGGTTTTCTTATTTCTCTGATTTACCGGCTTAAATAAAAGTTATTTAAATAACTCGAGGGCAGCGCGACTGATTCATGTGAGGAAGTTGAGAACCCAACAAATGTTGAGACGTTTGGGAGATGAATGCTGTTCCTTCTTGTCGAAGCTCCAAAATTCACGGTTGAAACCCGTGCCTTCGTGTAAAAAGTTGTTTTTCTCTGAAAAAAGACACTTAGAACTTGTTTACTGATTATTTTAATTAAAAGCTTCGTGTGGAAAATGCTAAAGAGCTCAAACCACACCGAGCGGCCGCCATTTTGAGAACTGAAAAACAGAAAGGAGAGACAGCCCATGTCACGTCAAGGGGCCTCCCTCCCATTTTCTTAAAGAGACACGCTGCTGGCTCCCTCACTATCCATCCTTTGGTTCAGTCTTATACTGCCATCCAGTGGTTAAAAAAAAGGTACACGCATAACAAATTACCAACATTTCTTCTTAAATTTGACAATAATTACTAATTCAGTTAATCGCCCAGCAAAATGTGTTATCATGACCGGCCTAGTAGAATTTTGTGTGGTAGTAGCTCAAAGCAATAATTCGGTGTTGGACCAAAATGGCCACAACTCCGCCTTCATCATAAGCTCTCTAACATTCTGGCGTTAAGGAAAAAAACGTAATTTTCTTCCTGTCCCCAGGGCTCCCATATAACCCGGTGGCCGGGCTTCTACATCCTGCAGTGGCGGTTTCACAACATGCCGGCCTGCTCGGCCACCAACCTGCCCCGGGTGGACGACGTGCTGGCCACGCTTCAGGTGTCCTCGCACAAGTGCAAAGTCATGTTCTACACCGAGGTGCTGGGCTCGGAGGACTTCAGGTTGGTACCTGAGCTGCGTGTCCGAGTCCAGAACCGTCCCCAGCTCTCCTGGGAACTAAACGACACGGGTGACCTGTTCGTGTCCGCCGTTTCACCGACGTTTCTTTTGATGTTCTCATTTCAGCCATTATTCTGTTGCAGCTCGTTCTGATCGTCTCTGTGCTCCCGTGTGTTATTCAGAGAGCAAAATGACTTTTTAGACCCAGCGTTGTAAAGTGACGATGCCTCCCTTTAAAGTCTCCTTTAATCCATCTTTTTCTTTCCAATCTGTCGCTCCCCCCACCTCCTCCTCTTCCTCCTGATTTGTCTTCCCCCTCTGAAGAACGGCTTGCTGTGATGTGCAGAGTTTGTAAGTGGCTCAGTGTTTGCATATTTTTTCCTTTAGCACAAGCTCATTGCCATCACTGCTTTTAGCTTTTAAACTGCGTGCCCCCCCCCCCCCAATGCAGTCACGCTTCTAATGCAGCGAAAGGTCCGTGTTTGTCTCGTAGTTTTTGTTAGCGTCGACTAACAGGAGCTTGCTTTGGTCACGCTACAGAAAGTTTTATTGCACTAAAATCCACTCGAACTTGCTCTAATCCACTCCTTCAGTCGTCTGTTTGCATGAATAACTTTCAGGTTTAATTAAAAACAACAAGCCTCTAAGCTGCAACAAACACATAAACCAAAACCTTCCCTGGTGCTTTATTTATTTTTAATATAAACACAGAACGTCGCCTTTTTAGTTCACTGCTCTTCTGATTCATTTAATTTTGCTCCAGTACCTTTGAACATTTTCACTACCGTTTCCACATTCTGTCACTTTACCGCCACAATCGAATATTTTAATGGGATTTTATGACCAGCAGGAACTGGTGCAGAATTGTGAAGTGGAAGGAAAAACAACGCGTTGTTTTCAACCTGCAAGGTGTAGCTTGGATTTATATTCACTAACCTTAAACGCCCTCGAACGTCTAGTAAATTCTCAGCCGGCGTGTAATTTAATCTCCGTATAAATCCAGCTGTTCTGTTGTAGAACATTAATAATCTGACTGAGCGGATGATTTTTTATTTTTTTTTTAAATGCGCAGAAATTTCAGTCTTGGAAGTACAAAGCTGATGGAAACGGACCCTAACAGGGTTCCTTTCGGCCCTGGAGGTCTGGGATTACTGGGATTACTGGGAGTTTAAACAACGATGTGCTGATTAGAAGATCTGAGCTTTTAATGTGTAGTAATGTATTTTAGTATCGTTGAGTCCATGTTCTGCTTCGACAGAGTTCACAGTACGTGTCCTGACTGACTGATCCTGACTGACTGGTTGTGAAGGCTTGTTACTTTCTGATGTTATACAGTATAATGCTTATTAAGCATTCACACTATTGTGGTCCTGTTTATATTTACTATTCCATATTCTTACTACTTTTTCTATTCCGTATGTTTTTCTGCATCTTTCTCGTTCCACAATTTTTGTGCTATTTCAACAAATCATAAACCAAAACGTTCAGCTCTTTCAGGACAATCCTGCTTTGACTTTTGGTCTTGGGATCTGTTCACAACCTTTTACTGCTCCTTTCACATTTTGTTCTGGTTCAGCTACTTTCAGCTGTTTTGTGCTCCTTTCAGATTCTTTCTGCTAACTACAACATTTTCTTCAAACTTATTTTGGCTAATTTCAGCTTGTTTTGCTCCTTTCAGCTCATTACTGCAAGTTTCAGCTTTTTCTGCTTTTTCAGCTACTATTTAGCCATTTTATGCTGATTTTAGCCTTTTCAGCTAATTCCACATTTTTTGCACTCATTTAAACTTTTTTTCAGCCTGATTCAGAAAAATGTGCTATCTCCACTTCCTTCTGGTAATTTAAGCTTCTTTCTGCTTTTTAGCTACTTTTCAGCTTTTTATTTGTTATTATTTTTTAGCTAATTTAAGCCTTTTCAAATAATTTCCACTTTATTGTGTTCATTTCTGCCTCTTTCATCTTAACAGGTTCTTTCTGCTATTTTAAGCTTGTTCTACCTTTTCAGCTAATTTCAGCTGTTTCAAAATTTTCATGGTAATTTTTGCTCCTTTCAACCTAATTAACATCTTAATGCTAATTTCAGCTTGTTTTGCTCCTTTCAGCTACTTTTCTATTTATTTATTTTTTGCTAATTCCTGCTTTTTAGCCAATTTCCTAATTTTTGCGCACATTTCTTATTTAAACTTACGTGTTCTTTCTGCTTTCTTCTGTTAACTTCAGCTTGTTATTCCATTTCGGCTACAATTCAGCATGTTTTGTAGCTAATTTCAGCTGTTTTTCAGCAAATCCTTCAGCATTTTTGCAGGAAATGCAGTTTCTCTAGTTAGGAATGATTGTTGTTTGCTCTACAGAATCCTTCCCGTCACCTGACACCGACTCTCCCTCCGACGTCGAGCTCTGAGCTTTTAACGTGGCTGAAAAATCTCCTGGAACTTCAGGATCTACTCTGAGAAAAGATCACTGAGTTTTGTTTCCATGAAGTGCAGGGAACCTCGCCTAAAAGACGAAGTTGTGGCTCAAGTTTATAAACTTAAACGAGATAATTTTCCTTCCACTTCATAATTATACCAGACTTCCTGCTGATCCGTTCTAATAAAATGTTGTGACATTTGTTGTAACGGAACGAGGAAAAGTTCAAATGTTGGGAAAACGCTTTTAAAGGGCTGTAACCGTCAACACACCAAGGATGGTGACTCGACCTTCCATCTTTCTTCATTCAGCCTTTATTCAGACGTTGACACCAGAGACCTGATCTTAAATGAACTGAAACAGGAAGTGTGTTTTTACGTGACGTGGGTTCGAGCTGCTTTACTGACCCTTCCAGGTGTTTGTGTCCTGGTGCTTCCAGGTTTGGGTTGGACTCAACCAAAGTCTGTTTGTAAAGATGGACGTCTGAGGAGCTGATGCTGGATGTTGATGTAGTTTCTAAAACGATCCTTCTCTTCAGTGACATGGATAATAAAACAGGACGGTCAGAGTTTATTTGGTTCTTCAAATCGTCACTATTTATCCACAAACCTCAGTTCTCTGCAGCTGCATCCATCTTTAAAACAAAACGCTCTTTGGTTACATTAATGTGTGTGAATGCATTTTGGTGCCGCTAAATATTTAACATTCAGCTTTTTGAACTTCTCATCTGCTTTCTTTAACGAGCAAAACCACCTTCCTGTTTTCACTGAGATGACGTCATAGACTCGGACGAGACGCAGGAATCCTCCCGACGAGCACGTTTTAAAGCTTTAGGAGAGAACCGCGTGTCGTTGAGACCACGGGGCTTCACGTGTTCCTGTGAAAACTTCAGTCCTGCAGCATGCTAACGTTAGCTCAGAGCTACTCTTAGGTAAAGACTTGACCACGGAACGGATTGAAGAGGGTTTATTTTTTAAATTTACTGACGCATCAGCTCGGCGTTCGTAACGCTGCTCAGATCAGAACAGAAGCTCGGCACAGCGACTCCTGCTTCGCTCGGATTTATGACAAAATTAACATTTTAATTGAAAAGGACGGAGTGAAATATTTGATTTTCTAAAGAACAAATAAAAAAGCAAAAAATACACATTTTAAAACGATCCCCAAAGATCAAGGCTGAATGTGATTGACAGCTGAGCAGACTCATCGTTATATTTTATTTTTTTACCCCTCGAGGCTCCAGCTGCCTGGGTGGGGTCACTCCAGTTCAGTAGGTGGTCCTACGGCGAGACTCGGGACTGACTGACTTCAGACTACTGACTGTACAGGTCCAGACCACCTCCACAGGTTTTTACTCAGACCACCTCCACAGGTGGTCTGAGTAAAACTGTTCTCGCCTGTATTCAGTGTCCTCTGGATCCAAACACAGATTTCAGATCCGCCCGAACGGGGTCAGAGAGAACATCACCGCTGCAGGGTGGATGAGGCTGCATGGTTCTGCATCCCGAGCATGACTCAGCGCACACACACACACACGCACGCACACAGGCCTGTCACGATAACAAATGCTGCTGGGCGATTGATTGTCTCAGAAATTATTGCGATAAATGATATTGTTTGAAATTTGACAATAATTGTGAAATTTAAGAAAAAATGTTGGTTAATTTTTGAGTGTAGTGCCTTTTTTTGACCACCGGGGGGCAGTCTAAGACGGTTTGACCTGAAGGATGGATAGTGAGGGAGCGAACAGCGTGTCTCTTCAAGAAAAATGGGATCTGAAAATGGCGGACGCTCGGTGTGGTTTGAGCTCTTGAGCATTTTTCACACAAAGCTTTTAATTAAAAAATCAGTAAACAAGTTCTCCGCTTCTTTTTGCAGAGAAAAACAACTTTTTAGACAAAGGCACGGGTTTCAACTGTGAATTTTGGAACTTCGACACAACGTTTTTTTTTTTTTTAACAGGATCAGCCTGTTAGCTCGTAGCTTAGCTTCTTTTAAACGATCCAAAAACGCAATTTTGGACGTTTTAAAATGGATTTTAAAGAAAAAAGAAAGGGAGGGGTCAGTGAAGAGAGTCGAGTCTTTTATCATCCAGTGTCTTCAGCAGAGAGAGAGAGACACGAAGAAACGATAAAACCTGATAAATGAAAATGAGGTTGATAATTTTCATTTGTCATGTGATTAATTGATTTATTGTTTATCACGACAGGCCCCCACACACACACACACACACGCGCAGCGCTTTGTCAGGGTTTGTCCAGCTGGGGTTGCTCAGGTGTTGCTCACATGACGTCATCTGTGGCGTTTCTCGTCTCTCACGTTGTCTCTGTCTCTCGTCCCTCACGTTGTCTCCGTCTCTCGTCCCTCAGGGGTTCCATGACCAGCCTGGAGTCGAGCCACAGCGGTTTCTCCCAGCTCAGCGCCGCCACCACCACCTCCAACCACTCCCAGTCCAGCTCCATGATCTCCAGGTAGAACCCGACAGCTGAGGACTTCATTCCCAGAATGCATCACTCCACTGTCATCAACCCAGAGGACACCCCCCCCCACCCCACCCACCCCCGTGTCCTCTTCAGAAGACGAAGAGTCCTGAAATTCTGAGGCAAACAAACTAACTTTGACACTACGTGTAAGATTTAAAGGGCTGATTTTTGCACAAAGGTTGTTTGAATGTTCGTGAGGTGGAGGTGTTCGAGTGGAGCAGGCGAAGCAATATTTTCCTCCTGGAAGCTCCAGGAGCCGACGAAGACACTGGAGACGCTGTTACTTATATGCATTTACTCCAACAGCCACTGACCCGAGCCGACGCGTACCTCGCCCCGTGCCCCGTTGAGACTGAATGTTCCGTTACGCGCAGGAACCGTGCACAAACGAATTGTTACTGTAAGGGTTTCAGTGAGCCGTTCATAGGTCAAATGTTGGTGAGGTCAAAACCCGGCCTGGATCTGGGTCCAGCCTGCAGGTGGTCCACCGTTCCACCACAACTGCAGTGTCAGTATTTCCTGTTTCAGAGTGGAAATTTCCTGGTGTTGATTCGTGCGAGGAAACTCCCAAGGGCTCTATCACACCCGTCAAACCACGAGACGAGCTGGATAACCAGAGATGGACTTTCTGCATGTTTTAACTTATTTGTGGAGGATCATGGGTAAGTTTTGTCCAGGCAGGCGCACGGAGAAGAGAAAAACTGTCACTAATATCACTTCCTGTCAAAAGTCGTATTTTAACGGTGAAAGTTCGTCCGTCTGCTCAATTAAGGAACTCAAATCAAGGAATCACGTCGTCGAGGCGCCGATCGGCCAGCGTGGTCCTTCCAGCCGAGACGCCAGAACCTGGCGACGTCGCCGTGGTGCGTTTGTGCGCGTGGGCTTCGTTATTTAGGAGTTGAGAGCCGTGCGTCAATAAAAACCATTTTAGCCTTTCGTAAGCGTCACGTAGAGAAAAGCACCCGATATTTTCACAAACGTTTCGAAACGCGACACTTTTTTTCTAATAGATTGTAGTTTTGATGACCTTAACCTGTACAGGGCGGAAACGAGCCGTCACTTTGTTGCCATGGTTACGGAGAGTAGTTGGGAAATAATAAGTTACACAGGAATCAAACTTAAAACTGCTTTTTTTGAAAACAATTATTTAATGTCATAAACTGCAATAACCAGAGGAAGGTGAGTGTGTGGTGGTAATCACTGAATGTTTGCTGCAGACTGGTGTGTGTGTGTGGGGGGGATAGATATATATATATATATCTGTAATAGGACGTGTAAACTTTTATTTCTTAAAGGAGCTTAAAGTTTTCCAGCTCGTTGGGAAACTCGTTACAGGAAGCATCGTCCTCGTCGGTGCTCCTCAGAGACGAACCGGACCTTTGGATTCAAGCCACGAGCACAAAGATGTTTTTTCTTTTCTTTTCTCCTCTGACCCGTTTGCGTCACCGTTTCTGCTTTTCATCACCGTCTCGTCCACAAATGAGGGCTACCGTCTCGATTGTTCGGCGCATTTCATCTCTCTTCACGGCCTCTTTTCTCTGCCATCTTTGCATATCTTTAAACGGTGACGTGAGAAATGATGTAATAAATAAAAAAAGTTACTGGTTTGGATGAATGAAAACATGGAGCCTTTACGTTTTTGAAGATAATAAACTTGAATCATGAGTAAATGGAAACGGCTCAACTTGTTTTTGTCGGAACAGC